TAGCCAATATATAATATTCACATATACTCTTTACGTTTGTGTTTAAATCTATCATTGGTATTTTACAGGTATTTGTCTATAGCTCATATTGTCTGTGCTGCATTGTGGGTATCCCTCCAGCCTCTGCTCTCTTCCCCCAATAGGAAGCAGGATTTCCTCCCGTTCTCTTGTCCTCCTGACCTGTATCATCGCTGCCTCGCGGACCTCATGGGGGCTTCTCTCCCACCAAGAGAAAAAAAGTCACATCAGCAAAGTGCTGCAAATGTCATTTAATCCTCATTTACTCTGGAACTCGCTGAGAAACCGGCACATTCCCTCAGCAGATGTGATTCACCTAAATCTTCTGACACCTTAGTATAGTATTGTTGTTCATTATCCAGGCACAGATTTAGCACTGACTGAAGGTCTATTTATAATGGAACAAGAATCGCAGATAAAGGCATTTGGGAAAAAAAGCCCAAATTCCCAATATTCATCAATCAGTAGCACTTGTGTGTTTGATTTGTTAAAAATAGATCAATGCTCGTAACCTGAGCACAACGTGACACCGTTTCTCGCTTCCCTCTTCCTGTCTTCCTCTCCTCTGTGGAAGCTCGTGAAATTGCTGTCGTTTGACCAACATCAACAACCCATGTGACAGGATATCCATCACTGTGATTAAGGGGGGAAAGTGCCATGTCCCTGTGTCATTGTTGCCTCATGTCACACACCTAAGCACACACCAGACCTCCTCTCTCATGACTGGAAAACTCTCGCACCACCTCATCCACCACTGAGTGTAAACCACACATCAAGGATAATGTTACCCTGCTCAGGTTTAGCTGTGATCCTCTGTCTCCTGCAAGCCCTTTGCATCACTGCGGACATAGGTACGTACCCCTGACACGTTTCTTTTTGTCTATTCATCTTGTGTGTGTGTGTGTGAGTAAAATGATCATCTCAAAAGTGAATCTATGAAGCTCTTGGTTCTTTTTCCAGACAGCAGCTCCTTTCTGATTTTCAACGAGAACCATAACAAGTGCATTAAGGTGGAGAGCGCCAACTCGCTGACTGTCGCCACCTGCGATCCTCACTCCAAGCAGCAGCAGTTTCGTTGGGCCTCCAAGTCGCGCGTTCTCAGCCTATCCCTCAAGCTCTGTCTGGGGGCCACAGAGATTAAAGACTGGGTGAAGGTCCTCCTGTATGAATGTGATGAGAGCAGTGACCTCCAGCACTGGGAGTGCAAGAATGAGACTCTCTTTGGCCTAAAAGACCAGGACCTGCACTTAAACTGGGGCAACCGCAATGAGAGGAGCATAATGATCTACAAAGGCTCGGGGCTCTGGAGTCGCTGGAGGATATTTGGCACTCTGGGAGACCTTTGCTCAAAGGGGTATCAAGGTAGGAAGTCATGGTCTAGAACTGACAAAGCCATAATCATGTCAACAGTGTCTTTTAAACTTAATCCCTCAACAGTATTTTACAATGCATAATTTTATCTGCATAGTTTCTCCATGCTGAATGGGTTGTATTAATATTGCATCTGCACAGTCACATTCATGCAGAAATTTTATATGCAGTTTTATCAGACACACGCTGCTGGCACATCTGTCAGGGACTGGAGCAGCTGGGGATTGAATCTGGTTCGTGGACATCCCACTACACCTCCTGAGCCACTGCAGCCATGCTCAGATGGCAAAATACCTAAAAATATAAAAGGTGTCAATTTAAAATTACTGCCATGTAGACCAAATAGGGGGTTTTATGTCTATAGAAGAAATACATTTCATATAAGG